CCTCTTATTTTGTTATACATTTTTATGCCTATAGCTAAAACCACTACAAAGGTACAACAAAAATGTCTTATTCTAAGTTTGATATGAATGAGAGCACAACTATGATAAATGAGTCCCTGGGCAATTGTAACAAATAAAGGACTCAAAAACCTCATGCTTTTTTTATATTAGACACTATGTTGAATATATTGATTCCAAACATTTAACAGAATGCAAATTCATACAAATACCCATGAGTAAAATCTGCCGTGGTGAATCCTTCTGGATCTCTCTCAGATTCCACTGACTCTTCCTTAAACAGGAAAAAGAATGAGTGCACAATTGCGTATCTAGAATTTACCTTCTATATAAAAAAGATGGATTTCAATTAGCTTTATACAATAAATATTTAGTATAGAAATTAAGAAACAATATAAGTGCTTTTAGGATTTCTAGAAGGCTAATTTTGGAATTATCTTAGTTTCAAGAGCTAGTCTAACTGACTTGCTATTGTAACAAAGATGCTGAGAAAGCATAATTATCTGTTAAAATAAAAAAGTACAAATCAACATGAAAATATGATAACTTTGTGTTTTTCTCTGTGAATAAAATTATCTAATTTTCTAACAACATTCCTTTTGCATTAATTAAACCAAGGCTTCCACTTTTTAATATGAAGCAGAAATTTTTAGAAAAGACAAATCATACTCCAGGAATAAATGCCCCTCTGAAGCCAAAGACGTGACAGGATAGAAGGAAGGTAAATATGAACTCCTTTTTAAAAAGGATTTTTAAAAAGAATCCTAATAAAGAATCGAGGTATTCCAATCTAGGATTTTAAAATTTCATTGAAATTAACCAGAAATCATTTTAAAGGCACTTAATGAATAAACTGATTTATTTTCTTTAAAAAGAATAAAACATTTTCCAATTCTATTTTCGACTTGAATAAGCCACAATGTAATATACTAGTCTGTTTAAGTGATCCTTATTATTTGTAATATTTTCAAGTCATTTTCTTTTGACTATAAAATAAGTATTGATATTTCCATTTTACAGATGAGGAAACGAAGGTAAGAGAGATAAAATGACTTGGGAAGTCAGAATGGAGAGAGGAGAGGCTGGGGTTGCGGCTCAGCGGTAGAGCACTCGACTAGCACGTGCAAGGCCCTGGGTTCAATCCTCAGCACCACATAAAAATAAATAAATAAAATAAACATTTTTTTAAAAAGATGGAGAGAGGAAACAAAAACAGAATTAAGAGAGAAAAAGATCAGTTCTTAAGTATATTACAGCCACCAACTAACATTGAGCAAAATTTCTTTGACCTCCTAGACCTGTTTTTTCATCATTAAAATAGAAACCACCTACCTCTCAAATGGTTGATTGAGGTGTAAGCAAAGCATCTAACAGCACACTCAGTAAAATAATTAGACATTTGATAAGCAAGTGCTCTCCCACCAACCCTCAATTCCATTCATCTTGTATAATGGATGTATAATCAATCCATAATGCTATGGTGACAGAAAGGAGATAACAATACATGTAGAGTGCCTGGCAAGCACAGGACTCAATTCATTTGTTCTCTCCCCCCCCCCCTCCAGATGCCAAAATTACCAAGGGGATAAGCCACAATCAAATCAAAATATTGGTCCCTCTGAAGAACTGCCTCTGCACTTACATTTTATTTATGGTTCTAATTTATTTAAAAGTCAGTTTAACCTGGCTACTTAACCAGTTATTTTAATGTATCCCTATTAAAATCAAATTCACTTCTAGGATACCTTTACCTTTCAGTAATAACAAAAAAAAAACTATTAAAATTTCTCACTTTATGTATTTTTTTTAATACATGTTTCTACTAAAAAAATTCTGCAATGTATACTCTTAATAACTTATGAATAATTATAACATAAAAGATAGTTTAAAAATATATTCCTTAGGATATTACGTGCCTAGGCATTTCAATGACTCCATTCAGTTTGAGTTCAAAGACATTAGATAGCTTTCTCATTTTTCATTTTTCCCATTTTTCTCCCAAATAAAATAACAAAGTAAGGTAGTAAATGTGGAACATAAAATAGATATGCATAATAAAACAGATAAGTGAAAAATATGGACCAGTTCTGCACTTATGAGGCAATGACCTTCAAAACTGGCAGGGAGCTATTAACAATGTTCTTCACAGGGGAGCAATTATACTACAGACCTCCAATGTAAGATTTCATTTCTCATGGTCTACAAATACATTTGTATATCAGAAAGAAAGAAACTGTGACATCCTTCATTGAGAAGATATAAGGCATTTTGATTACATTAATAAGCACATCCTAAATGCCAGATCAGTATAGCTGCTGCATTATGAAACCCTTGACCAATACTTTGACAGAACTGCCTACAACTGAAATTTACCAAATATGACTATCATGATTACAACCCAGTGATACATTTCTAGTCCTGTAATAACTTAAGTGTTCTCTGATTATCTCAAAAGTCATAAAAATCCTTCTAAAATACAAACCCTTATTTAAACACAAACATGACATAACAACACTTCAAGGAAAAAAGAGTTCAAATTAGCACCCAAAATTTTTATATATACAGTACTGCAATTTTTAAGTTGTTGGAAATATTGCTTCACCTAATAAGAAGCTTACCCATCCTTTCCATACTAATTTAACAGACTCTGTACCCAGTGTTTGACAAACAAACACGTGCACACACACACACACACACAATAGAAATGTACAGGACAAGTTGTTAAGAAAATCTCAATCTCTAAATGATCAAAAAGCTATATGTAAAAATATTAATTTCATATAAGATACTGTATTTCTTTTATATAATCTTTCCTCACATGGGTTAAAACAAAAGCAATTCAAATAGTGGTGCCAAAGAATGACATTACATATACTTTAGAATTCCTATTTTTTAGATTCCATACAAGAATCACAATGCACAATCATTAACACATCTAGACTGTGACACTGACTACAGTGTGACCAATTACACAATGCTTAATTTTTTAAATAGCATTAAATTGTAATAATAATGTAAAATAAGAGCAGGAAAACAAATACAACTGTAGTAGGATATAGCAAGTATAAATCCAGTGAGTCCTGTGTAACTTAAAAATATTCTTTTTAACTTAAAAATATTCTTTTTCTCAATGACAATGAGAGAAAAAAAAACTACCCACAATTGTAATACCAATCAACCAACCTCATAAGTTCCACCAACTGGGAAAAATAATTAGTTCCCTTATTATGAGACCTTAAAACCACAAGGTTATCAATAGTTTCTAGTGGAGTGGTAATGTGAATTGTGTTCATTATACTTTATACCTTGGTAAAAGTTAATGACCTGCTCCAGAAATTTTATTTCACCTCATACAGGAAAACTATTCTTAAGACTCATGAAGTCTAAATCTCACACTGCTCTTGATAGGCTATTGTGTAAAAATGCCTTCAATTTCAAAACAAACGGATATAGACTTCAAATATTATCAAATAACAAAAATATCAACTCCATGTTATTTTCCTCCTCCACCAAAACAAAAAACTATACGTGGCACAATGATACAATAGACAAAAAAAGTAGTATGCCACTCATTCATTAAGGAAATAATACATAACATTTCTCTGCTATATTCAACTACAAAAATCCTTTTACTTGATGGCATCTTTAGGACCGTTTAATCTGTATTTAAATGGCTCTTTCTTTAACCTCATGGATCTTTGGCAGCAGTCATCACTTTGGCCCAGAGCTGGTTTGGGGAGAGGGAGGAAAGGAAAGCGGAGAAAAGGCTGAATTGTGCACAGAGTCAGCAGAGAGCAGCTGCTCTCATATACTACCCAGCGTCTTTCTCACACACCGCTATTTTCCGTTATTGAGCATTGTCAGCAAAAATAAATAAATAAATGGGGGTGGGTATGCCAAAGAGGAAAGACCCCGGCAGGCAGTTTTTGTCTATCACATCTGAGCAGAGAAGCCTCCTCTGGTTTCTTACTGCAAAGGAAAGGGATCAGGTGAGACCCCTCCAGGTCTAACTCAATTTGCTTCTTCACAAAGAGCAGTTACTAGCTGTGCGCCCAGAATCTTCGTAGCTGATGAACTAAACACCGGGAGCATTGTCAAATGTTTTCAATCTCTGACTTTATAAAGGAGAAGAGGGGGCTGTGACTGCATTCCTGGGAAAGACTACTACTCCTGACGTGGCACACAGCAGTAGTGCAGAAGCATAAGCAAGAGGTTGTAAAAATCCCTTCAAAAATAGCAGGTTCTGAAAGAAATGCTGTGCAGCATTACTGTATTGTTGACGTTTTTAAGTCACTGATTCTTTCTGGCCACTGCCAACCACCCCAATAGCCGAGACTTGTTGCTAAGTGTCTACCTTACGCCCCCCCCCCCCCAGAAATACCTAACACAATAAGGTTTCGGGATCAAAAGGCAGGAGGGGGGCCTAAATCTTTAAAGCCCAGAGGGCTGGGCTCCCTTCAATAGGCCACTCTGCATGGGCTGCGCGTTCAGTTCCACCTTCTGAGAGCTCTGACTCACAAATGCTAGGGAAGAAATTATGACATAAACCTTTATCCTTCCAACCAAAGACCTAAGAAAAGCCAGCCAGTCGTCCTTGCCCAGCCGGGGAGCCGAAGCCTGAGCCCCCCGACGGGGCGGCCCGAGAAGGAGCCTTCCGCCCTGCCCGCCTCCCTCTGGACGCCCGCGGAGCGTGCTCCCGACCCAGTAGGGATCGAGGAGTCAGAACCCATTGCCTACACCCCCGAGAGAAAGCAGGAGAGGAGTTGAGGGGCCGGGCGCTTTGACTTGTCCGCGGCGACGCTGAGTATTGACCCCAGCAGGGGCTCCAGGCAAAGGAGCCCTGCATCCGGGCGGTCCTCCGCAGGCAGAATGGACAAAAGCGCGACGCTGGGGCTGAGGAGACCACCGGGCGGTGGCCACCGGCCAAGTTAACCGACTCGTGGGACTGAGGGACCCCGCGGACGAGGCGGCGCGGTGCTGACCTGGATGGTGCAGGTGTACTCGCTGTCGTCCAGCAGCCGCACGGTGCAGCTGTACTCGCGCTCCAGGCTCCTGCTGCTGCCGCTCATCAACCTGCTCAGCATCTTCCCGCCCGCTCGCCCGTCCCTGAGAGCGACGCGGCGGCGCTGCGGACCCTGGACCAGGCGCCCCTCAGCCCGGCAGCTCCGCGCCCGCCGGGGGCACCTGCACCATCACCCCGGCCCGATCGCCTCCGCTGCCTCCTACTGGCCCGGCTCCTTCTCCTTTTCCTCCTTCTCGGAGCCACCACCGCTTCCCCCCAGCCCAGAGCAAGCGCTGGGCTCTCTCCCGGGAGCCCCACTGCCTGTGCCCAGCTCTTGGGGCGGGGTCTCAGTCGGAGGGGGCCAATGGGGGTCAGCGCGGCAGAACTGAGTGGCAGATAGAGGATCCAATAGATATAGAGTACTGGGATGATGGGCGGGCGGGGAAAGCAATCACCGGAGAATAGTCATACCCAGCCAAGCCAGACCAGCCCTCTAGCGTCCCAAACCAGCGGCTTGTCTCTTACCAGTGGTTCTTATGGATGCTGTTTCCCCTCCCCAGGCCAGGTGTGGGTATCCATCAAGATTGATGTCTACTGCCAGGAATACATTTGAGCTCTGCTCTGTTTCAGGGGCCATGTCCCGAACCCTGCAACGCTGCGGTTCCCGCCCTCTCGGGAGGCAGGACAAGGAGGCGGCAGAGTGAGAGATCACAATCCCTGCACCTGCATAATACAGGCGCCTCCCATTCCAGACCGAGCTGCTGGCCCCCACCTGTGCTGTGCGCTGTCTGCCTTATGGGCCTCGGTACCCCACTACTCTTATTTCGGGGAACATCTGCTTTGTAGGAGCTACTTAAGTAAAAACTGTTGAAACCGCAGAGGTTGGTAAGCGCCTGGGTTTAACCCTTCCACTTTAACATCCTTTGCCTCCTTTCTTTTATTTTCAGAAGACAAAAGGAGATTGAGGTGAGCCCCTTCAGCTGATAAGAAACAGGAAGTATTGATCCTTTCCTTGCACCTTTAGAACTAGAATTCTTCAGACTTCCTTCAACAAAACACCACAATATGTCAGGAGGTATACATCACCAAGAAAAAAAAAAATTGCCTTCTTTCTCCTTTGTGACTCCTACATCTAAAGACTTAAAGTTCCTTACTAAAACTTCGCTAAGAGACATGATATTCTTCCTCACAGATTTTTACGGAAAGAAATGTTAAGAAAGAATCATGTTGAGCTAAGAGTCGTAGAAAGTATGTCTAGCATGCCTGAGGCCCTGGGTTCCAGCGTTAGCACCTCAAAATAAAACAAACAAAAAACATGTGGAAGCAAACATTAATGCTGTGATAAATATATTTATTTAAAATAGCAAGGACTGAGGTAGTAGCTCAGTTGTAAGAGTGCTTGCCTAGCATGGGTGAGATCCTGGGTTTAATCCCCAGACCACAAAATAAAATTAATGAAATATGCATTGTTTCTTATTGTTTTTGTTTATATTGCCTTTATTATATAACATAACAAAATTAAAAACCTACATTAGGCTAGAAAACCGTATCATTGATTTATTATTTATTTATTTTTAATACTAGATCTCAAACTCGGGGGCCTAATGCTAGGCAAGCACTCTACCACTGAGCTACATCCCCAGCCTCCTGACCTTTAAAGTATGTTTTTTTTCATTAGGGTCTTTAAATTCCAATATTTCTCCCAATTTTTTTGCATGGAAGGTTCTCATTCATTTTTGTCCACCCCCAACCCCGCCCTATCTCTTCCTGTCCACTTATCACCCTAGTAATCTGGATTGCTCTCCTTATTGGTTGGATTCTCCCTTGTGGCTTTTAATAGCCGTAGGAGGAGATTCCTCTTTCCAGTGCAATCCTGGCAGAATAAATTATGAGACTAAAATCAGTGAGTCAAGTGTTCTAGGCATAGAACCAGGCAGGAACTCTACTTTGTAACCCCAGAAGGTAGCTTGGAATCTGCAACATAATAGGTATTCTATAAATGTTAAACTGAAATAATTAGAATCAATAGATTTTGATAATGTCTACATGACAAGAAAGATCTGTGAAGAAACTTCAGGAATGTCTTAGAGATACATAAAATCATTAATATGCCAAAGTGATATTCTATAAAGTTCAGCTTTGTTGCATAAGTGGGAGAAGACAATGAAAGATTTCAAACAGGAAGAACTTTTATTGAAGGCAAAAATTGCTATTTATGAGCCTGGTACAATGGTGCACATCTGTAATCCCAGCAGGAGATCTCAAGTTCAAAGCCAGCCTCAGTAATGGTGAGATGCTGAGCAACTCAGACCCTGTCTCTAAATAAAATACAAAATAGGGCTGGGTATGTGATTTAGTGGTCTAATGCCCCTGAGTTCAATCCCCAATACCAACTATATATACATACACACACACACACACACACACACACACACACATATATATATATATATATATATATATATATATATATATATATATATATATATATATATATATATATGGCTATTTATTATAAAATGCACAAGAGCAAAAAAAAAAAAAAAAGTCCAAGAAGCTAGAGAAAGCCCATTAGTATAATGGAAGGGAAGTGTCTTTAACAGGTTATGCAAATAAGCAGCTGTTAGAATAAAAAAGCAAAATACCATGAATCCAGAAAAGCTCTAAGGAGCTGAATGCTGTCTTTCTTCAAAGTATGGCCACAGATGCAATCAACAGGGTAAGAGTGTGACTGCTGTGCCAATGTGTTAAGTAGCATTCCTGCCCAGTCTAAGAAAATCATGTCTGCTTAGATGCTCACCTCATTGAAAAACCAGTTAGATATTCATCCATGTTTGTGCTTAATATCCAGCTACAAAGACTATTTCTCTCTGATACAGAACACTTGGTGAAGAAAATAGAGGATGAAAAAATAATAAAAGAAATGCAACAATCTAAATGTATACCTCTAAAACAAGATTCGGGAGCAGAAGAATCCAAAAAGAATTAGAAAGAGTTCATATAGAGTCAAACTGAGAAATACTTTGTTACCTTTGTTTTTTTCTGAACTCTCAAATCTTGAGCAGAATTCCTGGAATAGAAGGGGTTTGTTCAATAAAAGGCCTCATGTGCCCTTGAGAACCAGTGTGTTATAGCTTTCATGTGTCTTTTGAGTATAAAGGATGCTATATTTAAAATAAAACTGTAAATTACAATGGCTCTGAAACCCTGCCTTCCAAATTATCAGGATATCTGCCCCTTTCTCTACTATGAAGGAGTCCCCAGAGAAGATGCTCTCTCCCCTACATACCTGAAATAACAACTCCTGCCTCCGTTTCTGGGACACTGATAGAGAGAGATAGAGAGATATCAGAGATCTCCCTCTCCCTCTCCCCCTCCCCCTCTCCCTCTCCAGGAGTGATCTTTCTTCACCGTTGCCATTGCCTTAGTAGAACAGGAAGGAGCACTACCCTCTTTTCACCAGAACATCACAAGTATAGGTCCTTCCCATCAAAGTCTCCCCGTAGCACAGCTAAGACCAGGCTAAAACTTCTAACAGTATTTAGAAAAGAAGAATCTAAGATGTAACTTGCAGGTATGATATGGCTAATCTCAAAGCCCTTATACAGACTAGATGCAGAAGGGTCCATGTGCTAAAACACAGCTTTGTCTCTCCAGCAAGAATTCCCCTGACTGTGACTTGGGTATCCTGACCCAACCACTGTGAAGCTCAGAGAAGAAAACAACTCTTCTCACTCAGGTTAGGATCCACTTTCAAGAAAAGTCCCATTTTCTGACCCACATGCCATATCTTCCTAGGGGACTAACTATGGAAATATCAACTCTGTTAGAGGAATCCCCACCCTCCATGCTAGGTATGTGACCTTGACCTCGGATCCAATGAGACTATCAAGTTTTAAAATGATACTTTAACCTCAACACCTTTCTTACAAAGATTGAGTTGTTCAATCTTAATGCATAAGTTCCGGAAGAGCTTCATCAAAGCTACTCTAGTCCCTTTGCATAATTATTTCTCCAGTAAACAGTAAAGATAATGTCTGTCCTTGTTTTCTGGTATCCTTTAGATCTCAGCTTCTTTTCTCCTAAGAGCAAGGGTCAAACAAAAACATTCATTTCTCTATAGAAACAGTATATTAAAAAATATGGGGCTGGAGTTGTGGCTCAGCGGTAGAGCACTCGCCTCGCATGTGTGAGGGCCTGGGTTCAATCCTCAGTACCACATAAAAATAAATAAATAAAGGTATTGTGTCCAACTATAATTTAAAAATAAATAAATAAATAAATAAATATAAATATATATATATATATATATATATATATATATATATATATATATATATAAAATCCACAGAGAGGAAAGAGACAGTTAGTTGTTTTGTTTGTTGGGGGTACAGGGATTGAACTCAGGGGCACTCAATCATTGAGCCACATCCCCAGCCCTATTTCTTGTATTTTATTTAGAGACAGAGTTTTACTAAGTTGCTTAGCACCTAGCTTTTTGCTGAGGCTGGCTTTGAACTCGCAATCCTCCTATCTCAGCCTCCCAAACTGCTGGGATTATAGGTGTGCACCACTGTGCCCAATAAAAGAGACAGTTTTTTTATTCTCTTCTACATCAATGTCTACAGGAGCAGCGCTTCTGCTCCACAAACAGATTTGCATAACCAAATGGAATACCACTCTTCTTTATCTAAAGTATCTATACTCAGGTTAACGGTTACTTTACAATTTTCTAAGAGTAGTAGATAAAGAGTAATAGATATATAGTTGCTATAATATAAATAGTTAAACAATTCATGCAGTTTCCCCAAAACAGTTCGCTCCTAACGAAATATTCAAGTCTTCCCTTTAATCAGGACAGAAAGCCACCTATAGTTTTAAGAGATAGCTTTTCTACCTTCTCCCAACTCTTAGGATTTTCAGTCTACCCCTGCTCACGCTCAAAATGTTTTTAAATCTGAATATATAAGCTTTTTTATTATTATTCCAAACTACATTTACTGAGCATTTAATGTCAGGCACTCAGATATATAAGACATAGCCCACATATGAGGAAAGGAAATACACAAATCAAGAATTTTTCAGCCAGGCATGGTGGCACATGCCTGTAATCCCAGTGGCTCAGGAGTCTGAGACAGGAGGATGGCAAGTCCAAGACCAGACTCAGCAATTTAGTGAGGCCCTGAGCAACTTAAGAAG